GTAAGTTTTGATGAATCTTAAAAGAACCTCAGCAGGAGTATGTCTAAAAATAATGAATAATAGCACCTTACTTATATACAACTTTTTAAAAAACCTTTTATATTCTGCTCTTTAAAAGTCAGATAAAGGTCAAAACAGAGGGGAAAACATGTGCTAAGAATAAACTAAGCTCAAGTTCAGACCTCTACTTTGTAGATAAGTATATAAGAAGCAAACCTTTCAGATTGAGAAAGGTGGGATCCTTGAAATCTGAGATACTACTTCTTAGGAAGACCCACCTAACACCAACGTTTTGAAAACCAAAAAGATTTATAACATAAACTAGCATAAACATTTCTTGCACAATTAATTAATAAATACCTACAGTTAGAAAGGCAGAATCGTTTATTGGTTAAGAGTACAGATTCTGAGGAGCTCAAAACACTCAAATGATTCATTTTCATTTTTTACATTGTTCTACAAAAGCACAGGCCTGTATGCTTATTACAGATGGCTCACGCCTGTAACCCCAGAGCTTTGGGAGGCTGAGACGAGAGGGTCGCTTGAGCCCAGGAGTTGGAGGCCAGCCTGGGCAACATAGTGAGACCCCACCTCTAAAAATACTTTAAAAATTAGCTGGGCATGGTGGCGTATGCCTGTAATCCTAGCTTCTTGGGAGTCTGACCCAGGAGGATTGCCTGAGCCCCGGAGTTGGAGGTTACAGTGAGCTATGATTGTCCTCCTGCACTCCAGCCTTGATGACAGAGTGAGATCCTGCCTCAAAAAGAAAAAAAAAGAAAGAAAGAAAGAATGAAGAAGCATGGTAAATTTTATATTTTCTTAGTTTTCACAGAGCTAGAGGTCATTACCAAATAAGATACATAGAGAAAAGGAATCTCAAAGTATTATGCTATTATGTTTATTATGATAGTTAAGTGAAAACAGCAACACATAAAAGAGTAAGTATTACACAATTACAACTATGTACCAATGTATGCATGGGTAAATTAACTTGTCAAAATAAAGAGTTGTGCAGCCAGCCACAGGATTTGCGGTAATTTATTACTTCTATTTAAAAATTTTAAAAAACATATTATTATATTAATTTTTTAATAAAACAAAGGAAAAAATCAAGTAACATCATAGTATCAGCTAAGCCAGAGTCCCAAAAGTGCTCAACAGCTACAGTGGAAGGTGTGTACCACAGAGTTTCAGAACTTCTGAGTGGAGACAACCCTACCTCTTTGCCTGATGAAAGGCAGGCGCGAATGAGCGAGTTAGGCATAAGAGGAGTCAAATGCCTGGCATTAAACTCTGCTCAACAGGGACCTTCCATTGTGGATGGTGGTAAACCCATTCAACTACAACTTCTCCTTTGGGGAGGCAGAAATGCTAGTAGGTAAATAAAGAATAGGAGACTGCTCAAACTCAGAATATATCCTTTCTAGCCTTGGAAGCCAAAGATCCCAGCATAACTCTATCACTGAAAACATAATGCTCCTGTGTAAACATGTAAAAAATCCAATTTCTGAAGGTAGTATGTGAATGTTTTTTCCTTGCAACTTTAAAGTATCAGAGTAGTTCATTTTCACAGAGAAAAAAATGGTACCAAAACTGAATCTAAATATTATTTAACAGTGTTATGTCTCATGAGTCTAGGACAGGTTAGTATGTACAAAATAAGTCTACAAAGAAATTATGTTAGCTATTGAGCACATACTGATGCTTGATGATAAGTAATTGAATGAATAACTAAAATATATAAACATTAGTATTTTAAAAGGACTCCTAAGAACTAAGACACACTGATTTGTTTTTTATGGATATTGCTATGATAAGTGCCTTTGGTATTTTCAAATTTCAAGTATCTCACTTTTTAGTTTATTCTGAATATCTTGTTTTTCTGTTGGGGCCCAACAAGGTCTCTTAAAACATAATATTACAAGGTTTCATTGTATTCTTTTTAAATAAAATATTCCATGTGTAAAAATAAATATAGCTAATAATATACACCTATGTACCCACCATCCAACTTAAGAAATAAAACACTACAGATATGACCAGAGCCCTCTGTGACTCACCCCCAACATTCTCTTTCTGCAGAGATAATAACTACCCAAACTTCCTTGTCTATCATTTTCATGTATGTTTTAATGCTTTTACTACATCTCTATACATCCATAAACAATAGTAGCAGTGGTTCTCTCAATTTTGTACACACTTATTTTCTAAGACTTCTGAAAAACTATGTACCACCTTGCACATTTCAGTTGATGCTTACATAATGACAAAGAATGCATCTTCTGGCTTATTGTGTATTGAATAAATGCTTTAAATATGTTTTTGTCAGAGCCTTGGAACTGTAGTTTAGCTTATTCAATTTATGGAAAATATAACCATATAACTTAATTGGAAATGCTAGTCCTCGTTGTCAAACCTAATCAGACAAATCTGACTTCCTCTCTGTCAGAAAAAAGCCTGACTTAATTTTAAAATTCAAATAAATGTGTTATTATGCATCCCCATGACAACTTTCTCACTTGTGAATTTTAAGATAGATAAATGGATAGCCAGCTAGCTAGGTAGACAGAGAAACTATAAGGCATGGAGCTTTGCCATGAGTTTATCGCCTGGATGAAATAATGTATTGCCCCCCTTCAATAATTTTTATTGAAGATTTCTTTGCTTTGCTCTCAAGGGACTCTCCCTCAGGACAGATTCACTCTCCAACAGACTCTTGTTTGGTGTCCTGGAGACTTTTAAACCCCAAGGCAAAGCAACATAGTAACATTTAGTATGGACAAGGGGTAAGCTTTTCTTTTGAAAAGTGGGAGACAGACAATTTTTAAAGAAGTCAGAAAGGAGAATTGGCAGACCAGGAATTCTCAGGCAGATCATTTTAAGGAAAGATTACATACGAAAAGAGAGAATATGAAAATTCATTTCTTTAAAGGTATTCATACCTATATATCCCATAGGAAGTCTTTGTGTACCCAGTGGTACAGGCACTCCAATTTGAAAACAATTGATCAGTAAGCACCAGGATTGGCAAACTAGGATCCATCTGCCCGCTGTTTTTGTAAATAAAGTTTTACTGGACACAACCACACTTACTCATTTACATACTGTCTATAACTATTTCCACACTACAATGGCAGAATTAAGTAGTTTTGACAGAGACTGTTTAGCTCACAAAGTCTAAAATATTTAATATGGTGCTCTGCTGAAAAAGTTTGCCACCCCTCATCTATAGCATTGTGTATATGGTTTTAAAAATTCTTCTTTTTAAAAATCAAAGTGATATGTTCACATAGTTTGTAGGGTCACATCATTCTAAAAGGCTTGTTGTGAAAAATACTTTCCCCTTCTCAAAAGCAACTACTTTATATTCTTTTAGCTGACGTTTTTGGTCATAATAAAGGTCAATCAATCCAAAAAGTCACAAAAGTGTCTGACAATTATAAAGCAGGCTCTGCCCTTAAATACTTCATAATATCTAAGCAACATTCTTATAATTACTTCTTTATTTTCCAGTTTCAAGCATTATATATGAACTTCTCATTTTTGAAAATGAAGATTTACTTTATCCTTCTTGTTCCCTAATACTCTCAATATAGTTACAGAACAATATTCATTATGAGAAAACACTGTCAACAAGTGAGTTATGTAGTAGGATTATTCTTCCTTTTCCTACCCAAGTTTTGTTTTTCTTGGAGTTAACAACTGAATTTTGTTTACTTTTCATGTATTTATCTATGATTCGACTCCACTTGCTATGTTCAGATGTATTAGGTATTCTAGTCACACACTTGCCCTCTTACAGGAACAGGTAGATTTGCTGGCGGGGGTCACCTCACAAAATAGGTGGGCCCTCGATCTTCTAACTACAGCAGAAGGGGGCACCTGCTTGTTCTTAAAAGAACAGTGCTGCTTCTATGTTAACAGGTCAGGACAGGTTCAGGACATCAGTGCCATCCTAGAGGCCACCTCCAATCTCCAGACACAAGGCGAGATCTCTAGGCCCTGGTGGATGTCCTTAATAATTCCCTTGGTCACCCTGTTACTCTGCATTCTGGGAGTTCTTATATAGGGACCGATCCTTATAAATTTTCTAACTAAATTTATTTCATCCCATCTAGAGGCCATCAGGCTACAAATGGTCCTAAGTTCTCCACCAGCCCTGGCACCTACCTCCTCCTCACACCTACAACTACAACCTACCCAGAACACATACCAAAGTCCCTTGGAGAGACCACCAAAAAACCTGTAAGAGACCACCCTAATAGGGATCAACACCCCTACTCAGCACGAAGCAGCCAGATGAGTTGATGCCCATACCCAATGATTTGGGCCTCTAGAATAGAGAATGGGGTATGTTAGGTAGATAGTGAGGGATTCCGGGTCTCCTAGGGATGAAAGGGGGTGCTGTTGCCCCCATCTTGGTCCTGCCCAACCCTAATTCTCCATACCTGCGGGAGGAAGGAATACTCTACGAATCTGCCAATCAGAACTTGGCGTGCCAGCTGTAAAAGAAGGCTTGGCTCATGGGCCAAGCAGCATGGGTACCATAAAGTCTCGAAAGTGACCTAGAACCCACGTATGCCGTAAGACTCAGGTGATGTAGCTCTCCAGCTGTCCAATCAAAGTGGTTCTATGGTGACGTTTGAACCACAGGGGGGTCCCTATCCAGGCACCATAAAACAAGAAGTAGACCATAACCAGTCCCTTTTTGCACTCTTCCTTTTGCTCTCCCTTTGCTGTGACAATGGGTCTGGTCGTTATCTGTGGTGTATGTACCATGCTCTGTAAACCTATATTTTGTTCTTGCCCTGTAATTCTATCTTTCTCTCCTCAATAAACCACATATTTGTGCTTGCCTAACTTTGGCATGTCTGGTCATTCTTCAGCTGTGGGCACGTCAAGAACTGACATTTCAGACTGAAATCTGACAGAAACTCCTAATTGAGAAACACAGCATTATAAACACATACTACTTGAATATTTTCCGTGTGTATTCTTACCTCCATAGTAGGTGGAGTCTTTCTTGTTCTTCTAATCCAAGCTAGAAAGTAGAATAATATTTAAGGGTCAGTTTTCCATAATTTGGACAAACATTTTTATCATTCATGCATAAAACAAATATTTTTTGAGCACTTACTCCATATTATTTTAGATATTAGAGATAGAGAAGGGAATCAAACAGATCAAGTCCCTTCTCTACTGAAGCATATATAATATTGAATGGGTTACAGAAAATAAACATACAAACGTATGCCTGGTGATGATTTGTGTTATGAAAAAATGTAATAGTGTAGAGAAGATAAAAGGGGACAGTTTCATATCTTTAAAATCATATCTCCTATCTGAATTCAACTTACTACATTTATGGCATACAGAACAAACCTAAACACTGTAAACTTCAAGGCAATATCAAAATTATGTTATTGTGGAAATTTGAATTAGTTATTATTCAATTTATAAAGGAAGGGACTTAAACAAGTTTTCATTTACAGATATATTTCTTTTGATCTGCTTCTGCTTATGGTTAGTAAGCATCATCAGGCCTTAGCTCTAACACTTGGGAGACGAGCTGCAGAGGTAGAGCCTACATTTGTTAAGTGCCTATTGGGCACTGGGCACTGTGCTAGGTGCTTTGTAGCAATGGGAAGGGAATGGGACAGCTGCCTCTGGGGAAATTATCAGAACCACATGGAGGACAGCATAATCTAGTGCTTATGAGAGTAGGTTCTAAAGTCAGATTTTCTGAGTTCAAATCCCAACTTCATCACTTACTTCCTGTGCCACTTGGAGAAAGTTATTTAATTTTCTAAGCATCTGCAAAATGGGAATTATAATAGAATCTATACTTTGGGGTTGTTGTAAAAATTATATGAGATAATATATCTAAAAGCTTAGCTCAGAGCCTGGCATAAAATAAGAATATATGTCTAAATTATTACTATTATTATCACTATTATTTAATAAACCTGTATTTTTTTATAAAAGACTCAAAAAACAAAGATCAATAATATCTGTTTAGCCTAAGAGGATGTATAGGAGACTGTGAGAAAATATATTGTAGGGAATATGGTCTTTAAAAAGTAGAAAACCATTGTTTTATCACTTTAGTTGATTCAATCTTGGCATACAAAATTGTGAGGTGTCCTTATTTTATAGAGAAATGAAATAACTTTCCTCAGTTTATACATTAAGTGCTAATGGTGGGACCTGAATTCAGATCCAATCCTGTATCTTTGGCTCTAAAAACCATCAATGCTCATTAAGCAGTCTCTTACTTTAGTGAGCAACATGTAAAGAACACTAAAGTAGGAAGAGGAATAGGTATAACCCTAGCTATATATCTGAAAATAAGAATTACTGATCCTATTTTACAGATTGGGAAATTGAGGCTCAGAGAAATTAAGCAACTTGCCTATAGCCATATAATTAGTAAGTAGCAGACTGGGAATCAAACCCTGACTGAATTGGCTTTAAAGTCTGAGCTCTATTCACCAGCCACTCTCTCTTCTGAACAGCTCTGCCAGCCTGCCTTCTACCATCCAAGGACAGATGGTTTCACCACTTACTATGGCTTGACTTACAATTTTTTGATTTTATGATGGTGCACAACCATCCTGTTTTTCACTTTCAGTATGGCATTCAATAAATGACATAAAGTATTCAAAATTTTATTATAAAATAGGCTTTGTGTTAGATGATTTTGCCCAACTGTAGGCAAATGTAAGTGTTCTGACCACATTTAAAGCAAGCTAGACTAAACTACGATGTTCAGCAGGCTGGGAGTATGAAACACATTTTGAACTTATGATATTTTCAATTTACAATGAGTTTACCAGGATATAACCTCATCATATGTTGAGGATCATCTATAATAGCACTAGAACCTGTTCTCAAAAACCCAGCACTGGGTTGTGGGAGTAGAAATGGCAACATTCAACTGAGGGTCTGGGATTAGTCATTTCCCCCTTCTCTGTTCTCTCTTGCACTGATCCCACACAGTATCTCCAATATAATTCCAGTGTTCTGTACTCTCTACTTCTGTTTCTGGATTTCTGCTCCTGTTATTCCTTTCTGTGTTGTCTTCCTCATTAGCTTCGACTCCTATTTGGCCTATTTCTAGTGAAAATTTGCACAGATTTTATATCTCTTGTTAGGCTGTAAGGTTGTGAACGGCAGGAGGCATCCATGGGAGATTTATTTTTCTATTACCTAAACACCTCAAAAGAGTAGGCACTTAAAACAATTGTTGAATGAATGCTTCTACCGTAAAAATAGTCATCATAATAGAATTTTCATCTGTATTAGAAAATCCAGCTCAGCAATACCAAAATTCTTCTGTGCAGTCACAGAAATAAGTAATTTATAGAATTTTTCAATTGCCTCTTTATGATCAAAAGTTACTTATCTATATTTATGGTTTTTTTTTTTTTTAAAAAGAAGCTTCTTTGAAAAGAACTCAACATGAGTTATATCTATAAAAGGTTTTAAGCAATATATCTGCAGTTTTAATTAAGATCAGAAAGTTAATTTAGAAAAATCAACTACTAGGGCAAGCGTCAGCAAACTATAGTCTATAAGCCAAATTGTGCTCACCATTTTCTACATGTCTAAAAAAATTTTAAAAAACAATTATTTCATGATACATAAAAATTATATAGAATTCAAAATTTCAGTGTCTATAAATAAGGTTTTATTAGAACATAACCACACACATTTGTTTACCTATCATCAATGGTTGCTTTTGTGCTACAATAGCAGAGTTGAGTAGTTGTAATAGACCAAGTAGATCATAAAGCCTAAAATACTTACAATTTGGCCCTTTAAAGAAAAAGTCTGCCAACTTCTGTGCCAGGTCTACCATTAAGTATAATCCCTTCAGCAATAGCTATATATCTTGGTGTAAAAACACTTTCATGTTATCTAAAATAAAAATCATTAATTATACTATTTTTTACTAATGATTTCCATGTATCCCAGGGTCTACGAACACATGGGCATACAATCATTCTGAAAAAGTGTAATGGCATAATGCACAATTATAACCATGAAAAAAAAACCTCAAAGTAACAATTTGTGTTACTTCTGAGTCTATAAAACAGTATTTTCAGTTCTCTTTTAAGGTTGAAAAAAGAAAAATATTTTAATAGTATCCAAATCATTAAAAAAAATTCCAAGGCAGGTAAATAGGTTTGGGAAACTCTGATACGTGTTTTCTAAAGCTTACTGGTTTTGTACTAAGTTTATAAAACTCATCACTGATATAAGAATGTGTAATAATAGAACTCAGATACTAAGTGTATTAATACCACCTAGTCTATTCACTCTCAGGTGTCACTGTTCTCTAAGGAGATATGAGGGCTTCCTTTAGCTTCATTTTAAATGACCACTTACAGGATTGTTGTTTTATACATATAAATGTCACTGCTGAAATAAGTTTGTTTATTTACAATTGTATAATAATCAGATATTTGAAATGTCTTGTGGAGATGATGGTTGATGCCACTACTATCTGTTCTGTATCCAGTAAAAGTTACAGCTGGAAATATTCAATGTGATTACTCATTTATATAATCATACCCACTTTCCCAACTATTACATGCAACAAAAGAAATATCCTGCTGAAGTCTGGCAAAGGTTAAGAGGAAGATGGAACAGAAGAAAGTATTGATATCAAATCATTTCTTCTTTTTAACCTCAAAATAATCTGAAACTGAATCTCTATTCCATTATAAATTATATAATGGTTTTGCCGCTGCTAATGATACCTGCATGGTGGATTCCATATCATTCCTCATTATAATGTAACCATTGTTTTAAGAGAATTTAGCAAGATAACTGGACAGTTTACATCTTAAGATCCTAGCATTCTTTCATCAATGTTCATTTGCATTCTCATCAGTATGCATGAGATTTTCACTGAACTTTAATACTTCTATTGGAACATAACACAGAATAATGAGTGTAAAAGTGAACACGCAAATTAAAGCTCCCATTAATCAGTAAAAGAGACTAGATGAAGCAGGCAAGGAAATACTTCATGAAGCATATATTCTCAA